TAAATCCTAATACAATATGAGGATAAACTGTATAATTTTATTATATTAATAATAACATGAAATAATAATAGAATAATAACCGACGGCCAGATATCAATAGATGACCAGATATCTATAGATCTATAGATACATAAATCGTCACCTTTCGTTCCATCAAACAAATTACATGCACCATCGTATACATCTCACGAACAAATAATTATACTACTTGATTTGATATTCGACCACTTCTGCAGCTCCAGTTCTAAGGATCATATGTGGGTGGTTTCTAAACATACGAGCAACAAGTGGATATTTAATATTAGCCAGCCCCTGCACTAGATGAACGAACGGCGACGTCTTCGCGTTGTCCTTGAAGCAGCAGCAGTGAGGTGCCTGTATGGCCACTTCCTTGGAGCCTCGGAGGCCTCTTTCCCATTCACGAGCAGGACATGGTTCCTGTGGGAATGGTCCTGCAGGTGCCTAGGGTCTTGGTAAATATTTCCTATAACAACTGTTGTCAGACAGAAAGTTGTTGTTCACTCACGTTAAGAAATTGCACTAAATAACGGGGAAAATGGACTAAAGTCAAGGCACGATGCAAGTTTATTGAACGAAACTCAGAAGCTAGTAAGGCTTCTGACCCAGACTCCTTCCAGGCATCTTCCACCTTTAGCGCCACTTCACACGCCTGCAAATAGTTTACAAAGGTTTTAGCTATTGACAGAATTTCAATGGATTTTAAATTAGATTGAAAATTAGAATTCCAATTCAAACTGACTGATTAAATGGTTTATGACGTAGAAGCTTTTTATAATAAAGGAACTTGCTCAGCGATCGGAAACAGTTCCATACTGAATGAGAACACGAACACTCCCGGACTCGTACCGTGATCTCGCCGTGGGGCCATCAGCGCTAAGATCGTGGGCCTCCCTGCAGATCTCAACACCTCCCAAAGCCAACCGCCAAGACAGGTTGATCATCCACGTCACCACCGGCACGTGCTGCTCGTCGAGGTAGTAGCGAGCGTCTCCGTAAGTGTAGGGATAACTCAGGAGATACGGCGAAGGTTTGCGCATCAGGTGAAATGGGCCCATAGAACAAGGTGGTCGGGTTACGATGGATACTAACTAAAGATGCAAAAAGGAAGATGAGACCAAGGTGGACAGGTCTGCACCGGATGGGATCTGAAGTTCTACTACTGTTGATTCATAATTCATTGCCGCTAGCTAGCCATGCGGTTGGGCTGACTATAATTCGTGACTGCAAGCAAATATTGGAGTCACGGTTCAGTAACAGTAATGATTTGATTGATTAATGATTTATAACAAAAGATGCAATTTCTTAATCTAAGATCCTTAAATTGTACTACAATTTTGTACAGAAATGAATTTAACCATGAATTTTAATTAATTAAATTTAATTGGGTGCTTGAAGTACGAGAGGATATGTGAATGGTTTTGCCAGAACGACAGGTCAAATAGGATTAGAATTCATCCTACTCAAGTAACCCAAAATTTATACTATTAAAAACCCACAGTTGAAGATTTTTCAAAGTATTTGATTCAATTAGAAACAATATAAGATTGAATGTGTGTGCAGAGAATGCAGGGTCAATAGGAAATTAAACCGTGGAAACATTATTTTCGATGAGAAGCATCAAGGACATTTGTCGTTCATCTCGCATTCCCCGGGCTATCGAACGACCCGATCAATTCCTAAGCAAATTTTGCATTTAAGTATTGGTTCAAGGGG